AACAGAGTAGCAGCATTTGTCATATTTCTCAGTGAAAACTATTCTCTCTATTTGAGTATCTCTTTAAAATATAAAGTTAGTGAAGTGTGATTTGTGAAACCCGCAATAATGAATGACTTCTGAATAATTTTAATTTTCAAATAATGATACAAAAATGTTGGTTATTTTGTTCTTAGATTTTATGCCTTTTGATCATCTTAAAGTATGTGACATTTGATTGCAGCAGTAATGGATGGGCCCAATAATAGCTTCTCTTAAATATGTAGAAGATGAAACAAGACACAGTTCCTAAGAATTTGCTTGTAATGGATAAACTTAGAAAATATTCAACACAACATTTCTCCATAGCAATGGCAGATATCTTAAAAGCAATCTTTCCCTTGACTTTTTATGATTCATCTTCCGCTCAATTTCTCCTTGCCATAATATGATAGATTAATCTAGGCTTTTAGTGATCCTTCATCATTGAAAGTAATTGTGGGAATTGACACACTCCTTTATTCTTGCAAACTGTCTTGATCTGTGACACTCCAGCTCATCTGAACTCCTTCAAATAAACATACATTTCCTCTCCTAATTTTCTCATTCAAGTGGAAAGCCAGCATTCCTCCTATAGATGTTTTCAGTCCTCATCTTTTCCTAAAAGACTTCTGACACCAAACCATCAATTCTGTGCTCAGTGATGCATCAGCTCCTGTGTCCATCTTCACTAACAAGACGATTATCAACACTAGTGTCACCTAGCAGGTGGGGAATTCAGTACCAATGGTGAGTTCATGAACTGCTGAAAGCCTTCTAGATCACCTTAAAACCTCCATTTAAAATATCCACTTTAAAAAACACCATCAAGAGTGAACAACTAAGGTTTAATTATGAGTTCCAGACCTCAATTATCTTTCCATCATATCTGGCATTTGAATAAGATTCATTTGTTTTCACTGAAACACACACACACACATATTTACTGAAATACACACACATATAAATATGTGTGTTTTAATTTTCAAATAATGATGCAAAAATGTTGGTTATTTTGTTCTTAGATTTTATGCCTTTTGATCATCTTAAAGTATATGACGTTTTATTGCAGCAATAATGGATGGGAATAATAATAGCTTCTCTTAAATATGTGTGTATATTTCAGTGTATATATATAGTATATATATATATATAATTTACACCTTATATTGATGGGTGCTACATATTATCAGCTTAAGAGCTTAAGAATACTTAGGAAGCTTAACTAGAAAACATTTCAATGATAAATACACTTTCTTTTTGTTAGTCCATTATTCCTCATAAAAGCAAATATGGTTATAACTAATTGGATAATTTTTCAGGTTTTGCTCTGTCTACATATCATGCTTTGGTTTTAATCAAACTGTCTTAAAATTGACAGTTTATAGGAGATACTACACATTTCATAAAATCACAATTGACCGAACGACTCTTCTATTACAAATGGGATGACTGAGCTCACCCTGTGATATTTAGCCGGTATCTCAGCTCTGGCTTAAATAGAAGATGACACAATACTCTCAAGCCTATTATACTGACTGAAACTAATAGATCCCTGTGTCCCTGAGATCATTTCATTCTCAGTGTAGTTTTATGTTTATCTACATATTCCCTGTACAAGAACAGTTGTATTTTTTAAACCAGGACTCATCTCCAGGAAACTAACCCAGAAAAAAAGTTTCACAATTCTCCTGTGTGTACAGACTTCATTCTACATGTCTCAGTGTGAAATGTGTGCCAAACAGCATCGTTTGTTTGTTGTTTCCTTTCTTATCTGCAACTGAATGCCTTCCTGTTCTGATTATTTATAGTTCTCATCTCAACACAACTCTCTTGTAATATTACATCTAGTAAACCTCCAGGCTGACTTAGGACATTTCTTTTACTCTTGGGCCTTGAATAACAGCTGCACATATTTCCTAAACTATATGACTCCCCTTCTTTTCACTCAACATTCCAATGTGTAAATTACAGTGATGAAATTATTTCACTGTAAAGGTTTAAGCTTTCCTTGGTGATATCCTCACACATTCAGAATATGGAAATTTTTTTTCTAAAGACAATGGAAACTAAAATGGATTAGTGAGCTCATTTTTTGACAGTGCTTGTGCAGGGAGAATGATGAATTACAGTCTTCACAAATATAACTTAAAAACACTAAAACAAAATTGAATTGACCCCACTACTACTTCTAGAGCTGTGCGCATGTGCATCAATCTTGCTGTTAGAGGGTGACCGTGTAACCTTTATTCATTGTTTGGTTAAAAACATATACCCAATCACAAATGAATCAAATAATTCAAACTCGTAAAAAGTCGGTATTTAAATATTAATGTTATTACTTCTGACTTGTAGCTGCCTGAAAGCTAACGATTTCTTTAATATGAGATTAAAAGACAATGGATGTCAGCACACAATGTGATGCTCAGAACATAAAAGTGTGGCCTCTTAAGCATAACTTTGACACTTGTATATGCAGTTCAATGTGAAAAAGCATGCAGGAGAATGATTTCAGCTGAATAGAGACGACTATAGCGATGAAGATAGAACCTTGAAATTCATGTAAATAAGTTCAAATTATGGGCTAAAACGCCATGCAACTTTGAGGTTACCAGGCATATGGCAAGCTGCTGCTGCTTCTTTTGGTACATCAATGAACTTTATGAGATATGTAAGTTGTATTTACAAATTGTAATAACTGGAAGGAATTGTCATATAGAGGAAGCATGATGCTGACACTGATCCCCATGCCTTTAAATTTTTATTACAGCTACCATTTTAATTACATGTGAGTATTCGTACATGCATCTGTGTGTTCTTATGGCACATATATGCCATATGTCTGTAAAGTTCTTAGCACGATTTACAAGAGATGGTTCAATCTATTCCTATAGATTCGGGACATCAAACTTAGGAATTCAGGTGTTTTACCAGGTCCCTTTACCGATCCCTTCTCATCTTTTCTAAATTTTTTATAAAAATGACATTGCAACTAGATATTGATCCTTGTTTAGCTAGTACTCAAAGCGTGGCTAATTCAAAAATTGAAAAGAAGTATTATGAAATGTATTTCTTAGCTATTGTAGGGCCAAATTTTACAGATATCCTAGAAATGCTATTTCATATTTTCAAAATGTTTTTTAAACAATGAAACAGATAGCATATCTAGAGTGACATTGAAGCACCAACAAAACAGGGTCGAGAAACAAAATAAAATTTTTGGACTGAGATGGTTTGTCAGGTAAAACCCCTCCAGCCAGCAATGACAACCTGAGTTTAGTCTTGAAATCCACTTCACATAGGAGGAGAGACTGACTCCACTACACTGAACTCTGTCTTCCACATATGTGCCATGGCAGGTACGGCATTCCCCCGCATCATATACACAAAGCCATAACAAATAAAACTACACCTTTTAAATTTTAAAATGAAATTTTCCCCAGACAATATGTCATTATTATGGTTTTCTCTCTATCTGCTCCTCCTAGTTCGTCTCCACCACCCTTCCCTTCCAGACCCACCCATCTTCTGTCTCCCATTGGAAGAAAAAATTGGGCTCTAAGAGAAAATAAGAAATTAAATAAAATGAAGCAAAATCTAACACATCAGAGTAGGATAAAACAGAAAGGGAAATGAATCTCCCAAAAATGCATAAGAAACAGTTGCTGCACAGATACCCACTGATAAATCCCATAAAAACATTATGCTGGAGGACACAATATATAAGAGAATAACATGTATGGTAAAAGAGAAAAATAAAAATATGGATATGTACATATATGTGTATATGTATTGTATAATTACATATATGGTACACGTATATATCTATGGTAATAAAAATAAGATAATAAAGAAAATTCTCATTATAATACAAGAAACTTTCAACGTTGCAATCCAGTTTGTCTTCCGCTGGCCATCTACTGCTGGGCCACTCTTGAGAATAGAAATAAAACTCATTAGTGCTATAAGCTTTAAACTATGCTTTGCTTTGGTCCACAGTTTGTTTCATGAGGTATAATCTTTGAGGGGTTCAAAGAGAATAGAAAAAAAAAACAAGACTAAGCTACAGTCTTGCTCTCCAAGAGGAGGAAAGAAGAAAATTATATGCAAACATTTTTTCCTTTTGCTTCAGGCATATATTATGAAATATAGTACAAAATCTAGATGAGTAGTATGCAAAGTTCTTTTTAAAATTTACTCTTCTCTCATACATTACATCCCGTCCACAATTTCCCTTGCATCCATTCCTCCTAATCACCATTAATACCTCCATTTTCCCCCAGATCCACTTCTGACTTCTTTCCCTTCAGAAAAGAGCAGGCCTCCCATCAACCAAACATGGTATAACAAGTTACAATAAAACTAGATGCAAACCATCATACCAGGCTGGAGAGGTAACCACGTGAGAGGGAACGGGTCCTAAGGAGCAAGCAAAAGAGTCAGAGACCCACCCAACTCCCACCGTTATGCTACCCATAAAAGCACCAATGTAAACAATCATAACTTATATGGAGAGGATCTAGGTCTGACCCTACGGGCTCCCTGATTGCTGCTCCAGTCTTTGTGAGCCTCTATGAGCCCTGCTTAGTTGCTTCTGTGGGCTGTGTTCTCCTGGTGTCCTCCACTCTTCTGGCTCCTACAATACTTCCTCCCTCACTTCCAGAGGGTTCTTCAAGTTCCACCCTATGTCCGGCTGTGGTCTGCATTGCTCTCATCAGCTGCCAGAGGAATTCTCTCTGATGATGATTATTCTAGGCTCCAGACTACTGGTATACCAGAATATTGTTGGAATAGTTCCACTGACTTAACTATTTTTTTTTATAGCAATGGTTGATTCTATCCTAGGACTCTGGATTATCTAGCCTCCAGTTTCTGGCCATCCAGGTAGTATAAGGCATGGACTCACTCTCACTGCATGGCCTGAGTTTGGACCAGTCATTGATTGGCTAATGCTTCGAGTTCTGTGCCAGCACTGCCCCAGCATATCTTGCAGGCAGGACAGGTATGAGTCAAAGGTTTTGTGGCTGGTTTGCTGTATGTAATGACTTGGCTTTGTTCTTGCTGTTCAAGTTTTAGTTTTAGCTAATAAACTTTTGTAGTTCTTTGTAAATTATTTAATAATGCTTATCAAATACATGTAGAAGTGTTATTTGAATATATGATAGATGTAAATATACATACACATGTTGAATAAATACATATGCATGTGAGATACTAACAGAATACAGACAGATCATTGTTAGACAGATAGATAATAGATTGATGACAGACTGATAAATAAATAGATAAGAGATAGATGATAGATTTGTGGACCATAGATAGGTGAATTTACATACTTATGATTTATTCTGAAATCAAATGGTTCCTTAGTGTTTGTTTTTGTTGGCATGTTGCTATAATAGACATATTCCAAAGGCTGAACATCACATGAGAAAGTGTTGTGCCCAAGTAGAGACCCCCCCCCCCCAGAGAGATCACCACCAGAATCCAGACAAGTCCAGAATGCAAAAGCAAGGTTTATTCAGTGCGCTCTCCAGCCAGGCTGGGGGCTCGACCACTACTCGACGCAGTGCAGTAGGGAAGAGAACCCCTCATCATTTGAAGTTGATATTATATAGGCAAAAACTGCAAGCCAGCTTTACGTAGGGTCAAGGGGGTTAGTTTTGTTGAGTACATGGTATGGACTACTTCTGCATATCCTCTTCCTCCTTTAAGCAGCTTCTTCTGCTCCTGGGCATGCCCCTCGCTGCCCCCCACCCTTCCCCAAGCAGTTATTTTCTGCTCCTGTCTAGACTACAAAGCTGGGTGTTGACAGGGGGCTAGCTGCTAGGGACAGTTGGTCTGCACTTTTGCAAAGGTTCCTGTTTCCTGCTAACTATTGATGCTCCAAAGTTTCTTAAAGTTTTCCACGTCCTACAAAAGGAAACCTATTTCTCATAGTTCTGAGTACTGGGATTTGCATACGTGGCCAGTCATTCCACGAAAAGTTGGTTGTAGAAAATGCAATAGTAGCAATAGTATTACCTTGGCTCCTAATCAGGAATAACTTAGAGATTAGACGATTATGGCAAATATCAGAAACATCTATAAATCCAGAATAAGCGTACACTTGATAAGTTTGGTAAATAAATTTGAATTTTCCATGTATAATCTTCAAAACAGTTAGCAAAATCCAAATTTCTAGAGGAGTTTTTTGGCAATCCATATAAACCTGATCATTAACGGAGAAGTATTAGGAAATGGACTTTGACTCACTTAAACATAACAGATGGTCAAAGTAAGTGTTGAATAAATAACTAATTAGAGGGGACTTCAGGTTTTAGATAAGTTATTAGCCTGGACTGTGCAACTTTAGAAACTGCTTTCATATGTTCATAACCGCTTATGAGAAACACCAAAGGCAGTATTGGATTTCAAAATGAGCATATGATGTATTGCTTTTAATAATGTGAATTAAATTCAGATTATGCTTCAATTATTAACATGTGCCAGTAGCTAGGGATTGTGATTGATGCAATTCTATGTTAAAATATATCTGAGAATGTATTTCAATGCTCACATGACCAGAAAAACAGAACTAATCTCATGTACATAATATTCAGCGAGTATGTTCGGAGAATTGAAAAGCTGGAAGCTTTGCATTTGCCTAGGCAAAGAGTCAAGACAGTAATGAGGGAAGACCAGGTGAAGTCATGGCACGGAGAGCCGGCAAAACGCAGACCACCAGTCGTCAGCTTCAGGGAGACCAGATATGTCCGTTTCAGGGTGAAGACCGGAAAACCAACATAACAATCACACAAAGAATATCTTAACCAACTTCTTCTCAGGTTGAAGGTGGTCAGAGAGGGCACAGTCTTTTATTCAGAAGGGAGTGGTATCGAAACCTCTTTAAACAGCAGCACTAACTTGGGAACAAACAGGCAAGAGCTTGTGGGGGGAATTTTTTATTCAAACCACTGAAACATCAAATAAGGTCTACTGGAGAAAAGAACAAACGTTAACCAAACTCACACCCATGTACACATGATGCAAAATAAGCAGAGCACTTTATTATTATCCTCACCTGTAATGGTTGCATGGTAACAGGTAATATAAATAACTACTGTCTTCTTGTCCTTGTTAATTCAGAATTAGATGGTGTTGCCTTTTATCCTATGAAGTGACTCAAACATTTATTACTGATGAATCTGCACCAATCATAGTTCTCCTTGAAATGGCTGGTTTTCAGTTTTTCCTCAGCTGGAATCACATGTTAGTGTGATACCAGGAGGTGTTTACACATACAATAATGTTATAACTTTATATTTTGGCATAAGGCACAACACCTTTCTGTTATTGTTGTTAAAACTGAATATGCTTCAAAAATGCTCACGAAAAATGAATTCAATTTTTACAAATTAGAAATTATGAAAATATATTGCTGAATACAAAGTTGAAATTAAGATTAATTTATTTTGCTCTTAGCATTTATATTCTGTGATTTGACAGTAGTTTGACATTCAAATCATCAGATTCTCCTGTGTGAGTTTGCTCAGAAATAACTGATTAACTGGACACCTTTCTTTTCCCCTTTTCTGAAAATAGATTCTTTTCCTGCAATATATTCTGATTCAAGCTTTCCCTCCTCCTTTCTCTAAACAGAATCAACATGCTTTCTGTCTCTCCTTAGAAAACAAACAAGCATCTAAGAACTAATAATAAAATAAATAAATAAAAACAAACCAATAAAACATGATGAAGCAAGTAAACAAGAAAAGAGCCAAAGAAAGAATGCAAGAACTGCATGTGGATATAGAGACAAACACATACTCATACACAGGAACACCACAAAGGCCTCCAAATGGAAGCCAGATAGATATTCAAAGGACTGGTAAGGTCACAAGCAAACAGATGTCATGATAACATTAATGTCATTAGAGCCATTGAGCTGGTTTTGTATTGGCCTTATACTGCTAGGCCTGGAGCCTACCCTTAGCGTAATTTATTTCAGCAAGACTCCCAAGGAGAGAACAAATTTTTCCTCTGAAAGTATTTACTTTTTCTGCCTCCTCTTCCACAGGATTCTTGAGTTCTGTGAGGAAGGATTTAATGAAGACATACCTTTTAGAGCCAAGTGTTCCAAACTCTCCCACTCTCTGCATAGTCTTGCCCTGGGTCCTCGTATTTGTTCTTGTTTGCTGCAGGAGGCCTTGACGATGATGGCAGAGTAAGGCACTGATCTACAAGTACAGCCAAAATGTTAGAACTCATTTTATTGCTATGTTTGTTTAGCAAGAAAGTAATATTTGGTTTCCCTCTAGGTCCCTGGTTTGTGTTCATTTTACCTTGATATTCAGATAACCTCTTCCATATCAAATATTTAATGGCATCCTTTCAAACTTAGCAACGGTAATTCATCTTTCATGTGAATGGAAATTATTTAACTGCAGAGTATGAAAACAAAATTAAAAACCTATTATTCAAAGAACGTATGTAGTTATGAAGACGATGCCTAGCCCAACTACCACTAGAGAGACAATAAATCTTTATCATTCACACACTGTGCTGCACACTTTAATGGATACTTTAGATGAGCCCAGCCTCATGTCAACATGTTGAATGCTTCCTGCGTCGTAGGTGAAAAACTATTCTCTGTAAATTTGATCAAGGACACACATAGAGAAAGATGTTAGCCGAGGGCAATAAGACTGCACACTTATAATTCATGTTGCAATGAGCATTATGTATTATATGAAAAGGATACCTAGATGGGGCATATGTGGTGACCTTTGAGCTTTTCTGGTAGATGATAGAATTAAATGAGGGGTGAGGGAAATTTTGGGATTCTGCTCACACGTCTGTGATTTTGTGTATGGACATGGACACTTTAATGTTTTCCAGTAATTATAATGATTAACATCTTATATTTAGAAGTGAAACTCACACATATCTAATTTAAAATACGTGTATATTATACACTAGTTGCAGATACTTGCTAAAATTTGGCACTATCTATGCAAACAATTAGCTATAGGCATGCAGAGATACATAAAATGAAGGTGAATGTGGTGACAGGTATAAACATATGTGTATACATACATGAACCATATGCTTTTGATTTTAAACACTTTACTCATATCTCTCACCTATTTCTCCATTATCCATAAATAGTAATAAATTTCCATCACCTACGCTATATGAATTCTTTTATTGCAAAAATTCCTACTGCAAACCTCATATAATTTTTGCTGTAAATCCATTTCCTTCCTACAATATACATGAGAAGAATTATCCAATTTTCATATTTGTGATTCTGGCTCAATTTGCTTGGCACTGCTATCTTCACTTCCTTCCAATTTTCTACAGACTATGTCATTTCATTCTTTATGGTTGAGTAAAGCTCTATTTTATATATGGAACACATTTTATTTATCCTTTGATCCAATAATGTAAACCTATCTCTATTCAGTAACTCAGCTATTGTAAAAGTGTTTATGTGAGAAGACAACTTTGTCATATGATGACTTTGTTTCCTTTGGCATATTCCTAGATGGTCTGTCATCCAAATTTCTATATTTAATTTTTCCTTGATGATACATGTTGATTTTCATCAAGGTGAAAATTCATTCACCTCATTTACCTGCACTCTAGCTTTATTTTATAAAGTTCCTATGAATCAGATTCTTCACCAGTGTTTGTTATTTTATTAGTGAAACCATACTGATTGGAGTAAGATGGAATCTCAGTGAAGTTTTGAGTCACATTTTTCTGATGATTAAAGATGTTGGTTATTTGTACTTCCGCAATTGAAAAAAATGTCTGTTCAACTCAGTTACTAATTCATTATTTGCACTGTTATCTTGTTTGTTATTTTTTAGAGTTCTTCACATATTCTAGAAACATTTGTTAAGCTGGTATCTCTACTCTCTTCAATGCAAGTCAATGCTGTTCCAGTTCTAAGTCATTAAGCAAGTAAAATTATTAAATGCAGAAAGACATACAAGACAGTTTCTATGTGGAATCAGTCATATTTTAAGTCAGGAAGTACTTAAATTATTTAAATCATATATTTTATATATATATAATACATACACACAAACACACACACACACACACATATATATATATATATATATAATGTGTGTCTCTACTTTTAAACATAGCACAATGTTTTAATACACTGAGCTCTATCCTGTGTTTATATACCTGTCAGTACATAATTAATGTTTTACCTTAGGCTGTCTACAATAATGAATGCCTCTATTTACAAATTATGTGTTTCTATAAAAAATGTTCAGTTGACACCCAGAATTGCATGCCAGTCTTTCAATTATGAATTTTAAGTTTTATAAGGTTATAAAGAAATTCTTGCACCTATGTGATCAACTTTTAAAGTCACAACTGATGCACCCTTTTCTTCTCAATGGTACTGGTGAAACTATCATGTGACTTGACCTATTGTCTTCAGGCTATGATTGAAGAATGCTGATTCACAACATGAAGAAGATGAAGATAGGGCCATTCACATACCCTGGACTCCTTAAGGTAAGCTGTGAAAATATGGGAGCAAGGGTGATGTCTTCCATATGTGAGATACACCTTTTCACTGACAGCACAAAGTAGTTTTTATGAGGTACATATGAATTTTGTTGTGAATTGTATCCATTATCCATGAGAAAATTGTAGGTCACACACTTTACCTACTATAGAATACTGATTTGTGGCCCCATGAAATATATGACCTCTACCCACACTTCAGAACCTGTGAATGCATATTTATTGAGAAATGATAACTGTTACTATAGTTCAGGGCCATAAGATAATTCTGAATATTTGGAGTGACTCCTCTTGCAATAACAAGATGTATTACAATTGAGAAAAGGCAAAATATAGGCATGTAAAGCATAGCAGGTAACGTCATTATAGGATTAGATAGCAGAGATTAGAATGATATAGCCCAGGTGCAGGGGTGAAAGAATGTGACCTTGAGATTAGAGATCAGAGATAAACATAGAAGATCTGGTTGGCTAAGTAACAGAGCCATCAAAAGTGTCAGGGGTGTCTTAGGGTTTCTACAGCAACAATAAAACACTATGACCAAAGCAACTTGGGAAGGAAAGGATTTACTTGGTTTACACTTTCACAGCACTGTTCATCATTGAAGGAAGTTAGGACAAGAACTCAAGAACTCAGGAATCTCGTGGCAGGAACTGATGCAGAGGTCATGAGAGAGTGCTGCATACTGGCTTGTGCCCCATGCCTAGGCCTGACTTTTTTATTATAGAACCCAGGACCACCAACTCAGGGTTGACATCACCCACAATGGACTGGGCTCTCCCCCACTCATCAATAACTGATGAAGAAAATGCCCTAAAGGCTTGTGTGAAACCTAATGCCATGGAGGCATTTCCGTAATTGAAACTTCTTCCTCTCAGATGGCTTTAGCTTGTATCAAGTTGGCATAAAGCTACCTAACATAAGGAGGTAAGAAAGTATCCTTACTAGAACCTGCTAAAGGGCACAATCTATAAACAGTGGGAAACAGCATATTTTAAGATACCCAGTCTATGGAAATTTGTGTGTGAGTCATAAAGTAATAAATATTTTTAAAATGCCTTGTATTAAATAAAATTAATGATAGAATCTATATTGAAGAACTATTTTGTTGTAGCAGTCAGTAAAGTACCGATCAGTGCTGATACATGCCTGAGATTCCAGCCTGGGAAAGGTGGAGACAAGAGCATCCATTGGGCTTTGCAGTCAGCTAGTCTTACCAAGTCTGGTTATTGTAAGCGCAGGAAGAGAGACTCTGTCTCAAAAAACTAAGATGAATAATGGCTGCAGAAGGTGCCCAAAGTACATATCTGAGCTCCATCCAGAAACACACACACACACACACTCACACACACTCACACACACACACCACATGCATTCATGTGTATATACACACACACCAACAGGCAATGTAAAAATAACAATTTTAAATTAAAAGTAACCGTATTACAAATCTCAATGAATATTTTGCCTGCTAGTAAGGAAAAACAATACACATTTATCAAAAAGCCATGTTCCAAGTCCAATCATTGTCAGACAGAAAATGATAAAGCCACCATTTGACACAAATCTTGTGTTGGACACTGGGCATGCATGCTTTCCAGTGGGATTTAAAGGCACTTTCTAATTTTTGTCTTCCTCAAATAAATAGGATGATGAATTTCTCACTGATGTCCAGTGGATGAAAAATGAATCTTGGCCTGATAAGATGGCTCAAAATGGAAAGGAACTGAATTGTCAAGTCTAACAGCCTAAATTTGATCCCTTATACCAACACAGTATGGGTCAATATCAACTCAAACAGGCTTTCCTCTGACCTTCATATGCATGCTGTTGCAAACATGTTATCTACCCACATGAACAAACACACTCAAATAAATCATATGTATAAAATAATAAAAATTAGCAAAATGAAGTATGTGTAGTGATAAAACTCTAAGTAATTTTGAAAGCAAATTAGTTACCTCATCTTTATGCATTATAAAGAATAAATCTTAACTAGGGAACAACCCATTTTAGTCATCATTAAGAGATTATTAATCTAGCAATTATTGAAGCATATATTTGCTCCAGTTCTTAAGTCTAAAACTAAGACTAAACTAATCTTAAATGCATAAATATCATTAAGACTGTTTTGTATATGGCCAAGTATTCTCATTTATTGAAGAAAGGAAAAATGGAATGAGAGAAACACATGAGATCAAATAGGTTTATGTTGCAACTTGCAGGAAAACCCAGGAAACTGAATGATGCAAATAGTGGTTTCTGTCACATTAACATCTGATGAGTTGTAGTTTAAACATGTATTATTTACCTTGCTATAGGACATGGAATGGCTCTAAACAGGAGGGTGATGAAGTCTGAGTGCTGTCATCAAAGCAACTCTGACAGGATTTTCCAACAGTAAAGAAATGCCAGAACTTACATTATTATTTACAAAAACAATCAATGAAGCTATGATAAAAATTATTTAAAATAGTGACTTATTTGATTGGATTGATTCTACATTAAGTCAAAATATTTAAATATCCAAAATAGCTGAAATAAGAATATCTAAATTTTTGTTCTGTTTAAACATTTCTGTGTATAAACTACAAGGAAATTGTAATGTTTTGTATCCTTTAAGACAAATACAATATACCTTATCTTGAAATGTGACAAGATTTCCACATTTCCTTCTTCATGTCTCCTGTTATACTGCGATAATGCATTATGTCACTGTAACCATCCTTTTATGTATGAATATAGGTAATAACAAACAGTTCCTAAAAGCTCACAGTGATGTGGGAGTGTCATATATCAATCTGTTGATTTCATTGGCTGAGCAATAAAGAAACTGCTGGCCCTGATAGGTTAAAAGATAGGTGGGCGGAATAAACAGAATAGAATTCTGGGAGGAAGAGGAAGTGAGGTCAGACTCTGCTCTGCTTCCAGAGGGACCGGACAGCCGCCATGCTCTGCTCTCCCAGGCAGCTGCAACCCACGATGGACTTAGGCTAGAATCTTCCTGGTAAGCGCACCTTGGGGTGCTTACAAACATCATTAGAAATGGGCTAGTCCAGGTGCGAGAATTAGCCTGTAAGGGCTAGAGTTCATGGGCCAAGCAGTTCTTAAATGAATACAGTTTGTGTGTTGTTATTTCGGGCATGAGCTAGCCAAGCGGCCGGGGTGTTGGGGACGCAGCCCCGCCGCCGCTCCTATTTCAACATCACAGGGAAAAATATCAAAGTTTGCAATACAATAAAGTAGTGTTAATTAGGATAAACTGACATAGTTTAACATATCAAAAAACTTTGAACCCATAGTGTAAGAAGGTCAAAGACAGAATCTCTTCCCCATATAATGTGGTAACATGATCACCTGAATCCCAAGACACACCCAGATTTTTAATTGCATCTTTTCTATGATAAGCTATAAGGAAGAGTGAGGAATTCAATTACTTTAATAGTAAACATTTATTGTATTCAACCCTCTATGAAATGTATATCATTGCTATAGTCATACTTAAAAATATTAAATCTATAACTCTACAATCTATCTATCTATCTATCTATCTATCTATCTATCTATCTATCTATCATCTATCATGTGTGTGTGTGTGGTATTAGTTTATATGTGTACATGCATATGTATACCATATTACAGATGTGTTGGTCAGAGTGAAACTAGAATGAATTTATTTTCTGATTGCACTATGTGAATCCTTGGAGTCAAACTCAGTTCTTCAGTCTTGATGAGAAACCCTGCTCACATTCAACTATACATGCTATTTCTTTAAGAAGAAAGCATTTTCTGGAAGCCCATAATGCATTCACATTTCTGAAGAGACAAATCAAACAGAAACCTCAACATCTATCCAGGTTCTCAAACTGCTTTGTTCCATGAGAACTGGCTCCAAGTAGGGCAGTGATTCCTGAAACCACACGTTCCTCTTTGCAAAGAGTTCTGTTGCTGCTCTAATCCTGAAACTTTGATATTATTCAAATTTAAAACTGAATTTATTCAATAAATTCAAAGAGAATAATTAATATTTAAATCATATAATCAGAAAAAAATCTCATTAAAAATTAAAAAACCTAACTTTCATATTTTGCATGCATGCCTGTGTGCAGAAGTGTTCATATGTATGTCCTCACATATGGGTGTATGTGTGCAATTGTGCTTGTGAGTTTGAAGTTCAGAGGTTGACAACAGACTGCCTTGATAGTTCTCCATCTTATCCATTGAGGTAGGGTCTCTTGTTTCATTCCAGAACGCATTGGTTTGGCTAGATTAGCTGACCAATTTTCTCTGGGGATCCCCTCATCCTACCTATAAATAGTAGGCCACTATGCCTGTGAGTGTGTCATTTATGTATATGCTTGGGTATTTGAGCTTTGATTTGCGTGCTTGCATGGCAAACACTTTACCCACTGAACCCTTTCTCAGCTCCTCAATTTTATATTGAATAAGAATGAGTTTATGTTCAGCATCCTATCCCTGCCTTTGTTGCTACAGCCATGGTCTTTCATTGGTGGGTAATTTAGCATTCCTTCCTTGCAACTGCATACTTCTTTCAGTGCTTTCCAAGATGAATTAAATTATTGTACTTTGTTCACCATATGTTCTATTACTTTTAGGAAATATAAATTTTTATTACTACTTGTAAAATTACCTTGACATCAGACCCCAATGAAACATTTGAAAACACAAATGAGTCATAAAATTCTCAAGTAATGTTCTGAAGACCTCAGTACAATCATCTACTTCTAGACGTTTTCACACGTGTTCAAGGTTGTTTGAAATAAGGTGTGTAAATAGGAAACAAAAGAGGAATTTAAAACTATTAAATAAATAAAAAAAAGTAGGATTTTTTTTCACCATCTGAATAATTCTCTTTCTTTCAGTGGTATTGAAGACAGACCTGCAGCTAAGTTGAACGAAGTTATATCTAAGTGTGTCAGTGTTCTAACCTTATTTATTCTTTCTGTATGCCCTGGAGAATAGACTGA